AAAAAAAACTGCTATAGCAAAATTTGATATGAGAGCTTTTGGGTGCAAGTTGCCCAAAAGGCAATTTTTCAAACACTTTTTGGCATGTGATATATCAAATGAAAGAGCTTAAAAAAAAGAATGCAAATAACGTATCCATTTTAATTTAAATGCAACTTGCCGATAGGATTTTTTTTTTAAACCATAATTCTAAATTTGCCAATAGGTTTTGGACGTACTATATTCATATAAAATAATGTTTAAAAATCGACAAAATTTTATATTCATATTTTCTTATTAATTCAAATTTAGTACAACTTGCCAATAGGCATTTTACAAAAAGGCGCATATAAATCCGATACTTTACATTTTATAAAAATTTGAAAAATCCTCTCAAGTCTTTCGCCCAGATTAAAATAAATAATATTAGCACCATAGACATAGAATTTCTAAATTATGAACAATAACAAAAATTTAAACCAATTATGATAGGATTCTTGATGGATGACCAGATGTCATGAAATGATGAAGGAATTGTCTACGTAGGTCCATGAAATTAGGAGTGTGAAGATGACCCATTTTGTAGAAGATGAAATAGACCAACATTTAGAATAACCAAGAAATTGTTTGTAGATAAAAGATGTCTCCAGAAAATGATATCCAGGATATACATGTTTAATAGTTAGTCCACAGTTATTTCCAAAGATTCCTGAAGTCCAGATATAGTTAACTCAGATGAAAATAAGAGTAGATACCACCAGTTTGATGCAAATTTTTTGCAAAATCTAATCGTTCTTAGTAATATTCTTGAATATATCATTTATAGAGATAGCTGACACATGATTAGTTCCAAAAGATCCAGAAGAATTCATTGTAGAATGATAGGAACATATACAGGTTGCAATTTGTAGAAGATAGTTCTCCAAGATGTATAAGTTTATAAGAAAAAACCCCTCCAGAATTGGTAATAATAACCACATAAATAGACAAATCAGTTTCGTAGATAAAATACCAGAAATTTCTTATGAGATCCATTACTGATTACGTAATTTATATCAAGTTTTTTTTTCATAGATGAATTTATCCAGGAAACCAGAAGATTCAGTTCCACTTTGGTTAAAACATACACAAATCCCATAGATAATGGAAAGACAAAGATATTTTCTGAAAGTTTACCAGTTTATGACATAAGAACCCTTGATTTTCTCTAAACTTGATGAAGATAACCATATAAATCACAAATTGTGAACCAAATATTTTTAATCCATTACTGGTATGTTTTAGTAAAGATTTAGATTTTTTGATGACAAGTAGATGCATTTATAAGATATCCAGTCTAGATAGAAGACAGTCCATCCAAAATGCATAAAGATGTCTAATTTTGTCCAGGAAACCAGAAAATTTTGTTGTAGATTGGTTAAAACATACAGAAGTCCACAGTTATAGAAGATATCCATGGAAAACATTTAGAAGAACATAATCTTTTATTCCAAATATTGATGAGATTCCTTTATAATTGTTTCTTATTTAGATAGAAGAATCAGAGAGTAACATAGATGATCATAATATGAATAAATTTAGATGTACATTAATCCGAAATCCTCCAGAAATTGCATACGAAAATTCATGCAATCAGAAGTGTAGAGATGTCCGAGGCAAAAAATACCAGAATTTGAAATATCCAAGAATTTTTTGTAGATAAGATATCCAAATTAGTAGAAGATGATTCAGGTCTAGATCAGTAGTTCATTTTCGCTCCATAAAATCATTTGGAGCACCATTTGAGGATCAAAATGTAATTACCCAAGTTGATTTACCAGAATTATGAAGTCAAGATTCACAAGATTAGATGGTATTTTCAAAAATCAGGTTCTCCAGAAATCGTATCTATTTAAGATACATAAAACAAGAAAATATCTACAAAAATCCATGAAATTAGCACTGTAGAGATGTCCCAGATGAAAAAGCCAGAATTTGAAATATCCAAGAAATTTTTGTAGATAAAAGATATCCAAATTAGTAGAAGGTGATATCCACAAGATTCAGGTCTAGAAGCCCACTTTTTCTCCAAAAATTCACTGGAGCCAAGAAAAAATCACAATAAAATACACCAAGTCAATTTACCAAAATCAGGTTAGATGACATTTTTATAAACCAGGTGCGTCATCTAGAAGTCACTTCTGTTTAACAAGAAAATATCTACGTAAATCCATAAAATTAGCAGTGTAGAGATGTCCCAGATGAAAAAGACCAGATTTTGAAATATCCAAGAAATTTTTGTAGATAAAAGATATCCAAATTAGTAGAAGGTGATATCCACAAGATTCAGGTCTAGAAGCCCAATTTCTCTCCAAAAAGTTATCGGAGTCAGGAAAAGATCAGAATAAAATCAGGATAGATGACATTTTCAAAAACCAGGTGCTTCATCTAGAAGTCACTTCTGTTTAACAAGAAAATATCTACGTAAATCCACGAAATTAGCAGTATAGAGATGTCCCAGATGAAAAAACCAGAAGTTAGAGTATCCAAGAAAATATTGGAGATAAAAGATATCCAAATTAGTAGAAGGTGATATCCACGAGATTCAGGTCTAGTAGCCCACTTCCTCTCCAAACAGTCAGAGAAGATCAGAATAAAATACACCAAAATTTACCAAAATCATAAAGTCAGGTTAGATGACTTTATCTAGAAGTCTCTTCTGTTTAGTTAGTAGTAGATTCACTTCCAAAATTCAATGTAACAAGTACATTCAGATTAGCAGTAAAGAGATGTCTCAGATGAAGAAGACCAGAATTTGAAATATCTAAGAAATTTTTTGTAGATAAGATATCCAAATTAGCAGAAGATGATTAAGGTCTAGATCAATAGTCTATTTTTGCTCCATAAAGTCATTTGAGGAGCAGAATGTGATTAACCAAGTTGATTTACCAGAATCATGAAACTTGATTGTATTGGAACTTGACTTCCAAAATATCAGATGATATTTTCAAAAATCTGGTACTTGTCCTCCAGAAGTCATATCTGTTTATTATACATAAAACAAGAAAAATCCAGGAAATTAGCAGTGTAGAGATATCCCAGATGAGAAAGACCAGAATTTGAAATATCCAAGAAAATATTGTAGAGATAAAAGATATCCTAATTAGTAGAAGATGATAATCACTAAATTCAGGTCTAGATCTGTAGTCCATTTTTGTGTCATTTGAAGCAACATTCAAAGATTAGAATGTAGTTAACCAAGTAGATTTACCAGAATCATGAAGTCAAGTTCCAAAATATAAGAGGATATTTTTAAAAACCAGGTGTATCTACCTCTATCCCAGAAATTCAATCCAACAAGTACATTCCACCAACTTCCAATTCCAATTGGTTTTTGTTTAGAGTTAGTATATACATATAACATTTAAATAAATTTCTCCAACTTATCAACATCGATTAAACATTAATTTATCCCAAAACATTTACAGACAGGGTAGAAGTGAAATACTTCCTCTGTCCCCAGTATCATCTTTTCTCCTCTAACCGTATCTGATGAACCTCGGATATCTAAACAGAGCCCTCTGTTGATTCTGCAAAGCATAAAGATGTCTCAATTGAAAATCTCTTCTTGCAACATCTTCTCGTCGTCTCATCTCCAACTGTCTCGATCTCTGAACCAATTCCATTTCTCGTCTTCTGGCCTGTTCTCGTCTCCTGTGCAATTCCTGCCTCATCCTAAGAAGTCGCTCTTCAGCCTGTCTCTCATCACAAAGGAGTCTTTGTTCGTTGCAATCGCCTCCTGAACAGTCTACTGGCCCTAAGGGACAGGGCTGCTGGCCAGGGGATCCTGGTGATTGACCCAGGGGAAAAGATCGTGGATTTTCGAAAGATTTTCGATGGTGGTGTAAAAGTTTTTTGTATAAGTTGATGGTTAGGAATCCAAGACCAGAAGTAAATTGAGCATTGATCAGGATATATATCACAGTTGGCATTTTTATAACAAATGCATCCATGATACATTATCAAAGGATGAAAAATATAAATTTTCGAGATTTCAGATGTTGGTGGAGTATTTTTCATAATTTTGGTATTGTATCCAAAAGCAGTAGGTTAGTTAATGAGAAATATTGATCAATATCAGGTAATGGATCAAGGTTTTGATATTTTTTTTAAACAATTGCATCAAAATTGCAGTATCAATAGATGAGTTGATGCAAAAAATGTCCATGGTTTTTAAAAATTGCATCCAAAGTACAAAGATTTACCAATTTATAATTTTTTTCCCAGAAATAATTTATATTTTAAAATTGCATCCAAAATTAATGAATCCAATACAATTTATGTCCAATTATGATAGCCATTATGTCCAAAATCATTTTTATATGATTTGGATTGTTTTGAACAAAATGTATGTTTTTTCAATGTTTTGTATGATTTAACGTTGATTTTTTTATTGATCAATAAATGGGTGAATTTTCCAATGGTTTTTCATTATTTGTGATTGTGTTAAATGATTTTTTCGATGAATTATCCAATAATTATGTAGATATGTCCAAAATCCAGAGCATCAATAATGGATTTGATGAAAGATGTTCAGAATTCCATGCAAAAATAATTGTATCAAAGTTGATGCCCAAATATAGTGATCATGATGTCCAAAAATCATTTTTAAATTGTGTAATGAGGATGATTCAAAAGTTTTGGACCAAATGTATATTTTTTCAAAGGTTTTTTTCATGATTTAGGATGATTTTTTGATTGATCCATAAATATTTGTCCAAAATTTAAATTGTTTTTTATTATTTGTGATGATGTACAATAATTTGTTTGATGATTGATCCAATAATCCAATGATGTCCAAAATTCCAAAAAAATTATTTATATCAAAGTTGATGTCCAATTTTGATAATCACGATGTCAAAAATCATTTTTAAATCATAGAATGATGATGATTCCAAAGTTTTGCACAAATTTTAAATTTTGCCAATGGATTTTTATGATTTGTGATAAATTCAATGATTTTGTGATTGATCCATGACTAAATGATAGAATTATTAGAAAGATGTGTCCAAAATCCAAAATGTAAGGATAAATTGACGAAAAACAGTCCAAATTGATGACATGAATCAAATATAATTGATACAAATCATTTTGATCAATATTTTATCCAGGAAATCCATTTTTTAGCAGAAAGTTATCAGGATTTTGTGCAAAGTCCAGAAAAAATTTGTTAATACATTTTGTGTCATTGTTTCAAATAATTTTCAGATGATCCAATAAAAATGATGTCCAAATAATACCATGATGATGATCCCAAAGTTTTGAACAAAATTTATATATTTTGGCAATGATTTTTCATAATTTTTCGATGAATTTCATTTTTAGGTCACAAAATGATGGTGAAGTCAAAGTTTTGGACAAAATTTATATTTTAGTGATGGTTTATCATGATTTTCGATGATGTTCAATGATTTTATGATTGATCCATGAGGAAATGTCCAAAATCCAGAATAAAAAGATTAATTGATGAAAAGTAGTCCAAATCCAAGGAAATGTCCAAAATTTTTGCACAAGTAGCATCCACAAGTTGATTTTCATCAATAATTCAGCAGACGATCCAGAAAAGAAATAAAATTATCCATTTAATTTTCAAGATTTCATCCAGTATCCAAAAAATATTAATCGAGATTCAAAATTCCAATCCAGACGTCCAGAATCCAAATTCGACATTTCGATGATGATAAAATGATTTTTCCATGATTTTTCGTGGTGACAATTAGTGGTTGTGGTTGTGG